GACACACCTGGACAGGTAAAAACTGACCGGACACACCTGGACAGGTAAAAACTGACCGGACACACCTGGACACACCTGGGTTGGTCACACGTGGGTCACTCAAGGTCATCTGGGGTCACCTGGGGTCACCTGGGGTCACCTGGGGTCACACCTGTCCAGGTGAACACCTGAGCTGAGCTCTCACCTGTGCACAGGTAACTTCACCCCCTCACCTGTCCCAGCTACTCCTGTCACACCTGTCCAGGTGTGTTCCCACTCTCACCTGTCCCAGGTGTGTTCTCACCTTCCGGACTGGTTGTGGATCCCCATCCGCTGATCTGGCAGGTGCTCCCCGCTCTCGGGCAGGTGCGTTCACACCTGTCCCAGGTACCCCATTCACACCTGTCCCACCCTCACCTGTCCCAGGTGTGTTCTCACCTTCAGGACTGGTTGTGGATCCCCAGCCGCTGATCTGGCAGGTGCTCCCCGCTCTCGGGCAGGTGAGTTCACACCCCATTCACACCTGTCCAGGTGTGTTCCCATCCCCCTCACCTGTCTCAGGTACCCCATTCTCACCTGTCCCAGGTGTTTCTCACCTTCCGGACTGGTTGTGGATCCCCATCCGCTGATCTGACAGGTGGTCCCCGGCCTCAGGCAGGTGAGTTCCCATCCCCCTCACCTGTCCAGGTGTGTTCCCATCCCCCTCACCTGTCCAGGTACCCCATTCTCACCTGTCCCTCCCAGTCTCTCACCCGTCCCACCCTCACGTGTCCCAGGTGTGCTCACCTTCAGGACTTGTTGTGGATCCCCATCACGCTGTTCTGACAGGTGAGTTCACACCTGTCCCACCCTCACCTGTCCCAGGTACCCCTCACCTGTCCCAGGTGTTCTCACCTGTCCCTCACCTGTCCCAGGTGAGTTCACACCCCATTCACACCTGTCTCAGGTGTGTTTCTCACCTTCCGGGCTGGTCGTCGATCCCCAGCCGCTGATCTGACAGGTGGTCCCCGCTCTCGGGCAGGTGAGTTCACACCCCATTCACACCTGTCCCAGGTACCCCATTCTCACCTGTCCCAGGTGTGTTTCTCACCTGTCCCAGGTGTGTTCCCATCCCCCTCACCTGTCCAGGTGTGTTCTCACCTTCCGGACTGGTCGTGGATCCCCAGCCGCTGATCTGGCAGGTGGTCCCCGCTCTCGGGCAGGTGAGTTCACACCTGTCCCAGGTACCCCATTCTCACCTGTCCCTCACCTGTCCCAGGTGTGTTCCCATCCCCCTCACCTGTCCCAGGTGTTCTCACCTTCCGGGCTCGTTGTGGATCCCCATCCGCTGATCTGACAGGTGGTCCCGGCTCTCGGGCAGGTGAGTTCACACCCCATTCACACCTGTCCCAGGTATCCCATTCACACCTGTCCCTCACCTGTCCCAGGTGTGTTCCCATCCCCCTCACCTGCCTCAGGTGTGTTTCTCACCTGTCCCAGGTGTGTTCTCACCTTCAGGACTCGTTGTGGATCCCCATCCGCTGATCTGGCAGGTGGTCCCGGCTCTCGGGCAGGTGAGTTCACACCCCATTCACACCTGTCCCAGGTGTGTTCCCATCCCCCTCACCTGTCCCAGGTGTTCTCACCTGTCCCAGGTGTTCTCACCTTCAGGACTCGTTGTGGATCCCCATCCGCTGATCTGGCAGGTGG